TGGAAGCACTATCTTTTGGGACGCCACTTCAAAGTGTTATAAGATCATGAGACTCTGAAGTGGATCAAGGAGCAAACTACCCTGTCCCCTACGTTAATTCGCTAGTTCCATGAGAGTGACATCTTTGACTTTGAGTTGAGACACAAAAAGGGTTGTTATAATTGAGTCGCTAACGCATTGTCTCGGCACCCTGAGTACATGACTCCTTTGTGAAATCCTACGACCTTTGGAAGAAACTGAAGGAGGAGCTCGTAGAGCATACAACCAAGGATTCGGAACTTAGTCCCATCCTTGAGCGGCTGCGGTTTGATCCTAGTAGTCAGCCTGATTTTCACGAATATGGAGGACTGATTTATCGTTGCTACAAGAACCACGACCGCTTGTGTGTGCCCAACCATGAGACTCTCTGCACGCATTTTTTGGATTTGGCCAATGGCCAGAGAGGACACTTCGGCATGGCAAAGATGTACGCAAATCTGCTGAGTCAGTTTGATTGGCCTGGCATGAAACGGACTGCTGAAAAGTTCGTGGTTGAATGTCAAGTTTGTCAACGAATCAAACCATGCAGACAAAAGCCCATGGGGCTACTCTCACCCCTTCCCATTCCCGAAGGTCCCAGGGAGTCCGTCTCCATCGACTTCACCGACTTGGGAAAGGTAAGTCTGAACGGTTACTCACAAGTCATGGTGATTGTTGATCGATTCTCTAAGTTCCTTAATCTAATTCCTTTGCCACCTCACGCTCCAACATAACTAGTGATCTGTGAGTTCCAACATAAGTACATTCTCCAGTTCGGAACCTCGAAGATTCTTGTTAGCGATCGGGATCCGCACTTCATTAGTACTGAATGGAAGCACTTCACGTCTCAACAAGGGATCAGACTGTGTATGACATCTGGCCGACACCGCGAAGCCAATGGTTTGGCTGAGGAGATCAACTAGACTGTGTTTCAACTTCTCCGCGCCTTGATTATTCCGGATCAGGAAACATGGGACAAAGAGCTGTATTTCGTTAAGGGGTTGTACAACAACTCCGTCCATTCTGCCACCGACATAACACTCAACAGGTTGCATTACGGTTGGCAGATCCGTAATCCGCTCTCCTACCTATTCCCTGAAGAGCCAGCTGGCTTAACACCCGGCAGGCCTGGCTTCAGGGCCAAGTATGATCGCTTGCTCAAAGGTGCCATTGCAGCAATGACCAAGCGACAGCACGCCATGATCCATCATGCAAACAAAAGGCGCCGACCGTCGGATATTCAGGTAGGAAGCTATGTCTGGGTCAAGATACCTGAATTTTCAGAAGAAGCGGGAGTCTCTCGCAAATTTCTCCCACTCTACTATGGTCCGTGGGAAGTTTTGGATGAGATTGGAGAAGACCACTTTGGCCCTTCGTACGTAGTTGATGTGCCAGCCCATCTGCGCACATACCCCGTGCTCCATGCATCAAAACTGTACCTCCACCGTGACGCTAAGACGTTCGATTATCGCGAAGACATGATCCCTTGTGCAATCAAAGCCGGGCATGAGATAGTCAGAATTAAACAGCACGTAGGGAAGGGACACAACAAATAGTACGAGGTTCACTTCATGTATCACCCATTGGACGATCTATACTGGATTTCCAAGCAGGAACTGCTACGCAGCGCACCACACGTTGTTAAAGCCTACGAGCGACAAATTGCAGCTAACACTGCTCCTAAGATCTCCGCAAGGCTTACTGCGAGGGAGTATTCGAGGAACCTCTTTGCCTTGCTTGCTTACGATGCGTTTGTCGAGGACTCAGAATGAGTTACTCGCTCGAAGGGACCTCGCTCTTAAGGGGGGTTAGTGTGATGACCCGTCCTAACATGGACTGAAACACACGACTGATTTGAGTTTTGCCCATAGACTGGATGCCTTGCTGAGTTTCCCGCCTGGTACTAAGTCTGTGTGTGCACGCTTGCTGGACTGCATGTCTGTCTGAGTGCTGGTTGGCTTGAGTGTGTGTGTGGCCGTGCCTGTCTGAGTGCTGGTTGGCTTGAGTTTGTGTGTGGCCGTGCTTGTCTGAGTGCTGGTTGGCTTGAGTGTATGTGTGGCCCGCAAGGGCACTTGCTTGTTCGTTGGGCCCTCTGGGCCGGTACTTACCTGTGGCCGTGACATTGAGGGATTGCAGCAGGAAAAAACACTCAAGTAGCGGGTAGGCCGGTTCCGCACCTTGAAGGGGTAGATGTGCGGGTATTGGAGGCCGAGCAAAAGAAAAAAGTGACATTTTTAGAGGCCCAGTAGTTGTAGGTTAGGTCTAGGCAGATACCAGTCAAACCAGTTTGGGTCTAGGGCCTCTACGAACAATATCAGAGTTTGCAATGATGTTTCCCTCCGAAAGGGAGGAGGTATCGGTTGCTTGGAAGGCCGAGCGGCCTGGAAGTCACCCCCCGAAGAGGCAAGCAGGCCGTTATATCTCCCAGTTGTGCGAAGAGCCCAGCCTCTTTCTCGGTGTCGCAAGTTTGGTGACACACTGGTTGGAGCACCGGTTGGAGCAGCGCTGCTGGGGGAAGAAGAAGGACACGAAGGAGGAAGAAGCACATGAAGGGGGAGGAGCGCCAGGGGTACTTACGTGGCTATGGTGGAAGACATCTTCATCACCTTGGTGGGCGCTGCAGCAGGGAGTCCCCAACTGGGGAGAGCTACACCAACAAGCTTCGAGGCAAGGTCGGGCATAGCAGCCTGAGCTAGAGCAGGCATAGCTGCTTTGGGTTGTCGTTTGGGCATCTGGGCAAGGCCTAGTAGTCCACCATAGCCCCGACCTATGAGAGTGAAGAGCGGGAGAGGCGGACATGGCTATGGTGGACCTATGGATCAACCATTCAACATTGTATTATTATTTCTTGTGTGAATAAGAGAAGGGGGAGATAAGGAGGAGGAGATTGTTGGGCGAAGAAGAAGAGCCTTGTCATTTGTTTGTGCTGGTGTACATCTTCTTCTTCTTCTAATCCTCTCTCTCCTCTCAAGTTCATTCATTGTTTTCTGCAATTGGACGGCATTGTACTATCTGATGGATGTGTATCTCGAAATTGGCCAGGATCATAACAGCGCAACACTAATCCAACAGTGTGTCGCTAGAAGTGAGCTACTTGAATTGTGTGTATGCGCAGGCCGTGGCCCAGCTATATTCAGCGCTGGGCCCTATTGGGTGTGCTGCAGCGTGACCTGAAACGGGCAGCACGGTCGGGGCCCCTACCGGTGTCCAAGCCGTGCTGCTGATGTAGCAGGGCGCCAAAGTGCACCTGGCCCCGATTGGCCCTGCCTCCTGGTGTATCCAGTGCAAGGCCTTGCCTTGGGGACTGCAAGTTCGAAACGACGTCTGAACAGACAAAAATAGGACGGCAAATAAATATATAAGTGCTGCTTCAAACCGAACATGCGGCCTAAAGGTCGCCATGGGCCTATGGGCCTCCAAGGCGCGTGTCGGATGGGCATGTGGCCTGGGGGCCCCTCAACAACCAACGGGCCCCTGAAATGGGGCTTGTGTGCAGGTGCAGCATGTAACAGCCCCCGCTCCTTATGAACTCAAGCCAGGTTGAGGGCGAAGGTGACGATCTCATGGTGGAATTTGGACTCGAGTACGACGAGGAGCCGAAGGTACCGGCGTGCCTTGTTAATTGTGTTTGTAGCGTGTGAGAATGTCGGGAGCTGTTGCCTGAAGTTCTGCACGGGTCAACGAACGGTCAGCTTTATGGCTGCAGTAGGAAAAATGTACTAAGTACTATGTCGGCCTGTTGTCGTAGCGTCGTTGGGAGATGATGTCACCGTCCTCTTGAAAAACGTCCATAGAGGGTGGGTATTGCGATTGTTGCACGAGAAAGTCGTCATGTTCTGCAGGAGTGAATGGAGTCAACTTGGAACAATGGACAACCGGGTGGACGAGCAATTGGGCAGGCACCTTAATGACGAAGGAAGATCCTTCGGGTGCATCCCCAGCGGGTGCCACGATCGGCCAGGGCCCCATCCATTTCGGGAGGAGCTTGTGAGAGATATCTTGTTTGAGGCTGAACTCTATGGCGGAGCCCATACGAGGTCGCCAGCGGGGAATGGATAAGGAAGACACTGACGATTGGCCTGTTGGCTCATGCGTGGCTGCGTCTTTGACATCTTGTCACGTGCCTTGACAAGTAGCTCTTGCATCCAACGCAAGAAAAGAAGATGGTCGTCGCTTTCAGCCACCCGTGGTATGATCGTGTCCAACGGAGAAGTGACCGGCGAACCATGCTCGAACTCAAAGGGCGACATCTCGATTGTTTGCCAACTCGACATTCGGCAGCCGCTCGACCCAATCCTTTTGGTCGGGACGGATTAGAGTGCGAAGGAGAACCTGTGCGGTCTGATGCGCCCTCTCCGTGTGGCCATCGGTTCCAGGGTGGCGAGCCGAACTCTGCTTGAGAGATGAGCCTCATTGTTTCATGAGCGCCAACCAAAAATCGGACATGAACCGAGTGTCGCGGTCGCAAACGATTTCCTCGGGGTAACCCTTGGTTCGAATCCAACCTGTGTAAAGAACCTCGGCCAACTCCGATGCCTTGGCGTGATCGCGGCAAGGCAAAAGCATGGCAAACTTGGTGAGTCGATCGATCACCGTGAGAATCCCATCCACGCCGGTCTTGTGCTTGGGGAACGACCCGGTGATATCCAGGGCAATCGATTCCCTTTGTCGCAAGGGGACCGGTAATGGTCACAACTCGCCGTACGAACGATGATCGTGGGATTTGCAACGTAGGCAAACCTCGCATGACTCCCAATAGTGTATGACGTCGCCGAGAAGGCCGGGCCACCAAAAGCGCTCGTGAAGTCGGCCAATCGTACGATTGACTCCAAAATGTTTGGTGGGGGGAGCGTCGTGGAACTCACCAAGAAGCCGTGCACGTAAGTGTGGATCGCTTGGCACGCAAAGAAGATCCTTCCCCAGCGAGTGGACGAGCAAATAGCCCACTTGGATCCGATAGTGCTATGGCACCAGATTTGGAGACGAACAATTTGCGCACTTGTCGGTTTGACTTTCTTGGAATGATCCGGACGTCGTGAGAGAGCATTCGCGAAATGGTTCGATTTTTCGGGAATGTGATCGGGAAAGAAGTGAAACTGGTCGATGAAAGCCATCGAACAGGCGATGGTGTTGTTGATCTTGTCTTGGGTCTTGTAGAAGACCAGCGGATTGTTATCCGTAATCCATCGGACTTGACTTCGACCGAGAAGAAAATGTTGCCATCGCTTGAGCGTGTGGATGAAGGTTAGTAGCTCCTTCCATGCATCGTCGATTGAGTGCACGACGGGCACTTTCTTGCCGAAATATTCGACTGGGTGCCAATCCACGCCATCGTGTTGTTCGAGGATGGCACCAATGCCATAACTGGACGCATCGGTAGTGACGCGTGTTGGCAATGGTCGATCGTAGATCCGCAAGACCTCCGTGGATAACAAAGGGGCTTTGAGGGCCAAAAATGAACCTCACACATCCTCAAGTTGGCCGCGATCTTCGAATAACCTTTGATAAAACGTTGGTAGTAGCCAGCAAGGCCATGAAACAAATGGACATTTGTAACATTACGCGGCTCCGACCACTCTTGGACGACTTGAATCTTATTCCGTAACGGACTGATGCCCTTCGGTGTGACAAAATGGCCCACGTGTTCCAACTCTTGTTGGACAAATTCGCACTTGTCATGGTTGGCTTTGTACTTGGCGTGGCGGAGCGTTTCCAACACTTGTCGAAGGTGCTCAAGACGATCCTCCAAGGTCCGGCTATAAACGAGAATGTCGTCCAAGTAGACCAGCACGAACCGGTCCAACATCGAACATAACTCGTTGGTCATTGCCACTTGAAAGGCATGACCACCCTCTCAAAATGCTCGTACCATGTCTTGAATGCGGATTGGTAGCGATCATTCGGGCATATCGAAATCTGATGATAGCTCGTCTTCAAGTCCAACTTGGAAAAGTACTTTGTGGCACCCAAACACTCAAGAAGATCGTCCATACGAGGAAGAGGCCCCACATTCTCGACGGTGTGCATGTTGAGCTTGAGGTAGTCGATGCAGAATTGTAGATCCTTGTTCTTCTTTTGTAGGAAGAGAACCGGTGCACCGTATGGTGAGCTGCTAGGGCGGATCAAGCCCTTGTCCAACAAATCATCCAGTTGAGCGAGGAGGACCACGAGCTCCTCACTCATGCGATAGATGCAACCTTTTGGGGGCACGACACCGGCCTCAAGAATGATCTCTTGAGAGATCGGCTGATCCGGCACCACACCGGTAGGTGATTTGAAGATGTTGGCAAACTCGTCAAGCAACCCCACCACACGGGGGTCCGAAGACAAGTCCGTGGGTGAAGAGTCGACTAGCACGACGGTTCGTAGAAAACATAGGCCTATCTTGTCGGGCTGTTCATAAGCACAAGCGGCCCGAAACGACTTGGCCGTTACAGCTTGGCACTGGATCGAAGGGTTTGGAAGAGGAATGGTACATGGCATCTCGGCGCCAAAGGCATCGTGGACGATAAGAGTTCGCCGATGGAAGTTGACCGTGTGATCCGCACTCGCAAGCCAAGGCATCCCCCAAATGATATTGAAGTCCAAGACGTTGAATGCCACCGATTCACATGCATGAGGTGCGAAATATATTGGTACGGCCTCGATGTACCAGTCAATAAGTTGCTGCGTCCGTCCGTTCGCCAACTTTATCGCCGTAGGATTTGCCTTCCTTCGAACTTGTGCGCCAAGGCCAACCCTTTGAATAAAGGCCTGGCTCATGAAATTGCGAGTCGTGCCGCTATTCAGCAAAGCGCTGCAGGACACTTGCCCAACTTGGATGCGGATGTAGAGGAGCGGTGCGTTGTTGTCGTCGTACCGCTGCGTGCGAAAGTCGTGGGCCACCCTGGTAACAAACGCAAGGATGTCCCCCACCGCATCTTCGTCAACCGCCGACGAAGTTGGTGGTGCATAAAAGGATAAGGTGTGAAGATGAGCGCATAGTGCTGCGCATTGCGGTCCCGACAAGCATCGGGAGAGGACGCCATGATAAATCCTCAAACGTGAGCGGGTCCAATACCTCTATGTTGAACTCGCTCACCGAATCCCGTGAAGAACAACTTGAAGACGATAAGTCGCCGTTTCTGGATGGAGAAGATACCGCACACACGTCTTGTTCTTGAGCATGAGCGCCCAGCGAAGGTACGAGCAGGGCAGCATAGTCCTCATAAGAATATAGGATGGGAGGACTACGACTTCCGGATGTGCCTCAGAACTAAGGGAGGTTGCTCGAGCAGCAACCGGTTCCGAAGGCATTGAGAGTGTTGTCGCATCACTCTCGGCGGTGCTCAATTTCCCGACTGCTTTTTCCCTTTGGCTTTCAAAGGACAGACGACCGTCTCGTGGGGGTCGCTGTTACACGGCAAACAGTATCGAAATCTCGTGCGTATTTTGTGTGCACTTTCCGAGAGACCGTAGTGGGTCCCAAGGAGCTTGAGCTGCTGTGTCGGGCCCGTGGTTTGAAGGGGTGTTGGTCTTCGATCTGCCGTGTCCTCGGCCTTTGCCGGGGCGGCCATCATCCCGGGCGGCTGCGAGTTTGTCTCCCTCGTTGGCAAACGCGGCCTCGTTTGAAGGGTTGGTCGGCGTTGCCACCGCGACCACGACCACTTTCGACCGATGCTGTTCTCTGCTCGGGCCTGCTGCAGGCGAACGGCCAAGGTTCTTGGCCTCCGTGTTCGTGATGATTATCTGCACGGCCTTGTCGAAGAGCTCCGTACTCGTGGTGAGAGTCTCAGCGACTTGCTTCAAAGCATTTGACTATGTTGCTTCAAAGCATTTGACTATGTCGGACACGACCTCGTGATGGAGTAGTGCTTAATGCCTTTGAATGCCATTGGTAATTTCGGGGTGGATCCCAAGCGTTGGTACTCGGCTACCCAATCTCCGCTTGGCAACGTGTTCTGGTAGAACTTCTGCAATTTGTCCATTGCTTGAAGTTTGGGTGTCTCCACTTGGAACCGCTTGTGCCACTCAACCTTCAGATCAGCCCAGCTGATCTTGGTGTGCAAGTCGGAGACCGTGACCCCGTGCGTGGACAACATATTGTCCAGCCAAGCTTGGCACGCGCCTCCCAATCTGGACTACAAGTACGCGTGTTGTTTGGCGTCTCCGGTTTGGTGGATCTCCAGCTTGAGCTGAAACTTGTGAAACCATGGAATTGACTCCATCTTTGTGGCGTCGCAGAAGATCGGTTGGCCATCAAACTTCAGAATGCTCTCGCGCGGTGACGTGCTAGGGCCAGCGGCTGCTGCGCAGATCTGCTGCTCAAGTTGTTGAGTTGCCGCTTGCTGTAGCTGTGCGCCGTCCATGAGTGTTCCGATGTCGATCTCCAATGTGTGGAGGCGATCGGTATGGTTAGAGGAGCTGGCGCCAGTGGCGGCAACGGGTCATTGCTCCAGCTGCTGTAGTCGGCTGTTGACTTGTGCAAGCGATGCCTTGTGGTCCTTGACCGCGTCGTCGAGGCAGTGGATATCCTCCTGTTATGCAATGCACGTTGCCAGGAGGTCTGTAAGGTGGGAGAGCAACAGCGAAATCTTGAGTCCGCTGTCACTGAGTTCACCGGTCTCTGCCTCTGTCCGCCATTCCGCAGCCATTGTGAGTATAGCTCTCTCCTCTCCGAATACCTTCTCTCGCCGAATGTTGCGTTCCTCATCGGCAGCCCTCTCTGCTGCTTCGTCGTGCTGACGTTGTTGTTCTGCCGCCAGCAGATGTAATTTCTCAGCCTCTTCCTCCTTTTTCTTCTCTGCAGCTGCCACCGCATCTGACCATTGCTTAGCTTCGGTTATCAAGGGCAGCGTCAGGGCCTGATAGGCCTTGACTGATTCCCCTGGCTTCTGGTCCATGACGGCTGTCTGAGAACGCGTGAGCATAGACCAGGCCGAGGGGTTGCTGACGTGGCACGGCTGTCGTCTGACGTGTCCCTGCTGACGTGGCCTGCTGATGTGGCAACTTACCCATGCCGCAGTAGGGAGTACCCGTAGACAGATGGAGAAGGGAAGAAAAGAGGGTGCAACAGCATAGATGGGGTAGGTGGGCACAAATGCCCAGATAAGGAGCCACTAATCAAAAAGAAAAGTTTGAACTTTGCACAAAGAAATTCGAGAAAATAATAATTTGAAAAAAAACTCAAAATTGCAAGTTCAGTAGGTCTCCCAATCCCCTTCCTGAAATCCGAAATACACAAGGAATGAAAAATTTTCGAATTTCAGACTGCAAATGATGAATAATAATAATGAATATTAATGGAACTGCGAAAAATTTTCCGCAAGTTTGAGGATTCCGAAAATTAAAAATATTCGGAATTAATTCAGATGAGAGATGCGCTGCAAAATGTCAGATTGCGAAACAATCCCGGAACTTAACTGCGAAAGACAGATTTTTCCATAATAATTTTGACAATCTTTAAATATATTAAAATAATGGAAAAATAGTTAACTTTGAATTTTCCTGTTACCATTGAAATGAGTGAATGAAAAATCAACGCAAAAAGAAAGATTCCAAAAAATTTCTGTATAAATAAGCGACTGATAATTGTGAATCTCCGAAACAAATAGTCCAGAAATAACGAATAAACGCGAAATATTCTGAAAAAATTTACTTCGGATTTATCATAAACAAAATTCCGAAATTCAAGAAAAACGAGAATCGGAAATTTCAGATGCTGTGCTATTTCGGAATTTGCGTTTTTCCAACAAACGAAATTGCGCTAAGGAAGAAGGTCCGAAAAAAAGAAAATTTTTTGACTTTGGCAGTTAGCTGAAATGGTCTTTGCAGTAGCAGATGCAGATTCCAGGGCTCGATCCCTAGGCCTTACCTCACCTGTGTACAGTACCAAGTAGACTCCTGTGTGTTTGAACCCATGACCTGTGTCTTGGTAGATGACTGTTGTCTGTCGTAGGTCTGTGTAGCTGTCGGGTTTTGAACCTTAGGTCTGTCGAGTAGGGGTCATATCTGTGTAGGGGTCGTAGTTGTTGCAGCTCTGAAAGGTCATGGTCTTAGCTGCTACAGTCCCAAAAGACCAAGTCCACAGACTTCCGGATGTTCCGGAACTTGCCTTTCGAGCGTTGCTCACGTTTGACCAGAGGCAAGTGGGCAAGTGGGTAGCCCAACTTTGCTTAGTCAGCGGTGCCCAGTCCCAGTCTCACGTTGTCCAGTCAGCAAGTACAATGTGGGACTGTGTGTACCCTGGGCCTGGTGGAAAGGAG